AATGAATGAATAACATTTTTAAAATTAAAAAGCAAAGCACTGCCTTCTAAACTGTGATGGTTATCCCCAAAGGTTAGTGCTGTTCCCTCCCTTGGCCGGAAAAGCCTCTTGGTGCACTGAGCAGCAGTTAATACAGAAACTCACAACTGGTTAAAGTGCTGACAGTACGGGACTGTTGAGTGACCAGCCCTAAATGGGACATTTATATCAATCTCCTCCCCCAAGGCTTAGGAAAAATGGCAAAACAGCATAGACTGTAGTAGCCAACCACTGGGGGAGGGGAGTCACCTGCATGAGATCAAGCCAACAGCATTAGCCAACTTTCCAACAGCCAGCACTAGTTAGACTTGGTGTGTTGTAAAAACAACAACAACAACAACAGAAGACATGAAGGTGAAGATGAGGATATGTTGGGGGTGGTGTCGGTGGTGTCTGCAGGGAAGTGGGAGAGAGGATATAGGGATGGGTATGATCAAGACACATTGTATACATGTAGGGGATTGTCAAAGAATAAATAAAGGAGATTACTTTAAAAATGATTTATAGATTCTAGTACAAGAAATGTTTGTATGTCTTTGATATAAAATGACCATATATGTTCACAGGTCACATACAAATACAAAAGTCTCCATGTGTTTGTTGGCTGTGCAAGGCAAGGCATACAAGATAAGAATAGATTGCATTTAGTTTTTTCTGACTTCCTTGCCCAACCCTGCACCAAGATATATAGTATAACCAGCAGGTCGGTGAATTCAGGTGTTGATGGCGCATATAATTACGTAAGTGTGGGTTTTTGTAGTGTGATCTTGGACTAATGGCAGTGAACAAAAATGATACAGTCAACCACACTTTTGTTTGTTTGTTTGTTTGTTTTGTTTTTTTAAAAGGTTAAAGGGGTTATTAACCAAAATATTTGGAAATTTCATAAAATTTAAATATCTGCAAACAATCCAATCAAAAGGCAATGGGGGTGGGGGTAAGAAACAAACTCCCAACATTTGGCAATGGAGGCAACTTTACATGTTAACCAAATGGTATCACAACATCTTCTTTCCGATAACTAGTCACTACACCCCATGAGAAAGAATACAAGAGCAATCTCGGAGACATCCCTCAATCCCATGCACCCAGTTAGAACATTCCATAAGACCTCCTGTGCCACAGGCTTTCCTTCATTGCATAAGCCACGTTCCATCTCTATAGCACAATGCTAAGCAGCCTGCAGGTTCTATAAAGTAGGCTGATGTCCGTTCTACAAAAATATTAACTTACAGTACATAACACTGCATAATTTTAATCTGTACAGGTTTTCCCTCCCACAGGTGACACACATCAGTTTTTACAAGCTAGAAAAAAAAAATAATACTTCTCTGGTTGTTTACATCTGGGATAATAGTCAACAGTGTCAACCAGAATTTGGAGTGGAACCACACTCTTTTTTAAGAAAATATTTTGTGGCCGGGCGGTGGTGGTGCACGCCTTTAATCCCAGCACTCGGGAGGCAGAGGCAGGCGGATTTCTGAGTTCGAGGCCAGCCTGGTCTACAGAGTGAGTTCCAGGACAGCCCGGGCTATACAGAGAAACCCTGTCTCGAAAAACCAAAAAAAAAAAAAAAAAAAAAAAAGAAAATATTTTGTATACTTTCTAAGATTATAATTACATCATCCTACACTTCCCTTTCCTCTTTCTGAACCTTCCAGTATACCCTTCCTTGCTCTCTTTCAAATTCATGTATATTCACATACATTCCTAAGCACATACATACAGTCTGTATAATGTTACGTGTGTGTATGTTTTCTGAGCTGGCTGAATGTGGGGAAAATTTAAGAAGGCCGCCGCTGTGGTGGGTCCCACATTAGGGAAGAAGATCCTATGGTTCCAGCGGCCTGGGGGCCTTGGCGGCGGCAGGCCCCAGTAACACGAGGAAGTCCTTGGTTCCAAAAAGGTTTATTGTCATGGCGGATAATAGATGGATGTAGGTGTACCCCCCAAAACTCAGGGCCGTCCCGAGTTATATAGGGAGGGAGAAAGGGGGAGGATTGGGGGAGGATCTGGGGGAGGCATGTTTAATTTGTTCTGCCCTCTGGCTTTCATTAGTATGTAAATCCCTAGGGCCTGAGGCCTATAGCCTGGCCTATGTGACTCTATGGAGACTGTGACTGCTTTTCAGGATCCTGGATGATGGGGGGGACCGAACTCCTGCCGGTTCTCGTGCAGAATTCCACGCAGAATCTCGGGGTCCTAGGCACCTGCTCAACCATGACCCAGGATACCCTTACATAGTCCCACAGCTGAACAGTTGGTATGTGATAACCCGTTGCTGTACTCTTCCCTGGGGAAGGCTGTTTCTCCTGCTCTCAGCATTCCTTAGAGCCGATAGCTCTTCATATAAGGTTGAGGCCTTGTGGGCTTTCCCTCACCCATCTGAGCGTGTCTATTGTTCTTGTCCTTGTTTGGCTCACTCAAGCTTGTTCTTAAGGGTGTGTACCTACACACCACAACAGTGGATAGTCACTATTCTCACCCCAATATCCTACACTAAGAAGTAAAATAGACTTTTGATTTTACTTCTGTGGTTTGAAGTCCCTTTCACATACTTTTCCTTCCTTCACATGAGAGTTTCAAACATCCACAAACGTAGAGTCAGTAACATAGCAAACGCCCACAGACAACGCCCAGTTTCAACAGTGCTCAGTATTTTGTCTATTTCATTTCACCCATCCTCCCTCCTTTTTTTTTCTGAAGTGACAACTATCTTATTTCCCCAAGTATACAATATATCTTTAACACATAGGAATTTTTGCATAACACTACTGACATATCCATAGAAGTCAATAATGATTCTGTATTACCATCTATTTGCTACTGTCCAGCATTATTTTATTATTTCTTTGTTATTTGTGCTTGCATGTGTGTATATGTGCTCGCTTGCAAGTATGGAGGTCAGAGGACAACGTTCAGAGTTGTTTCTCTCCTTCCACTGTGACTCAGGTTGTCAGACATGAAGGGAAGGTCTCTTAGTTGCTGAATGATCAGCAGCTCCCTTACTACTCAGTCAATCTACAAATGTCTATGCTAGTCTAAAAGCAAATGAAATTAGGAGCTCAATGTAGATCCTAAATGAGATAGATCTACATGCTATGTGGGGTCTATTGAGATCTACATGTTACAAGGGGTCTATTAAGATCTATCTACATGCTACATGGGGTCTATTGAGATCTACATACTACATGGGGCCTATTCAGATCTACTTGCTCCATGGGGTCTATTAAGATCTAGCTACATGCTACATGGGGTCTATTAAGATTTACATGCTACAGGGCTATACAGAGAAACCCTGTCTCAAAAAAACAAAACAAAAAAACAAAAAGATTTACATGCCACAAGGAGTCTATTGAGATCTATATGCTAACATGGAGTCTAATAAGATCTACATGGGGTCTATCCCAGAGTCTCTTTTGCTCTAAAGTGATCACTTTCATTTTATGCTGTTAACTTGTTAAATAAACCAGGTCTTTGTCCTGGAATTTCCAGTGTTCTGGATTTGGCTGAGCTGTGTCACGATGGTGGGATTTAGCATGCTCTTTTGTACTTGACAGCTATTCTGGGGAGAGTCCCTTGACCTGGGTTTTTCTGGGATTACCTCATCATGAGACTTTGATTTCCTGATTTTGGCAGCAACCTCGAAGAGGTAACATTGTATCACATGGCCCAGGCTGCCATGGTGACTTGTTGCCTTGCTGTGTAGTTAACTGGTTTTTTTGTGATGGTATCTGGTAGGTTTTACCACTGCCAAGCACTGTTATTCCCATTTTCAATTAGTAAGAAGTCTGCAAAGAGACACTTAGAGACTATTTCATATTTTTCTCCTAGTAAGACTTTTGCCCACTGGTCATATAGCTAGTAGTGATTGTTGCCACAATGAATTGGCAGTGCACTAATTATCAAATGTTGATATTCTGATCCTCTCCTCCCCTCTAGATTAGCATCCTAAAGTAAGGAAAAGCCTCTCCTTCTTCACATATTTATCTCGGTATCATTTAGATCAGTGTGGACTCACTGGTTCCTATTTTATGCTGTAGGTTATATCCCAGAACATCATGATTCACTTTATTTGTCTTTCAAGGATATTTTCTTTGTTTATACTTACTTATTCCTTTCATGACTGCACGTGTCTGTTTGTCAACACCCATGTGCTGTGGCCGTGTGTGGAGGTCTGAGGACCGTGTGGATTCCTGTGGCTGAGCTAGGATCATCGGGCTTAGTGGCAAGTGCATTTACCCACCAAGCCATCCCGCCATCACTAACAAGCCATCCCAGCAGCTCTCTTTATCTGATTATCACCTCACTGTCACCTGCAGCAGCTGTGTCTTCTAAGAAGCCTCGTCACTCAAGCCTACCTTGTGTTTTCTCTGCACCGTCTCCGGGGTTTGTGTTTCTGGAACCAAAACTCCATGGACACTTACTTAGCCTTGTAGTGGAAAATGGTATTCAGAAGTGCATTCTGGGAGCCTGCTGCTGAGGACTCACTGACAAGACTCTTCTGCACACAGAGCTAAGATACCTGTGCGTGTGCGTGTGTGTGCGTGTGTGTGTGTGTGTGTGTGCGAACCTTCTCACTTTTTCTGTCTTCCTCTTTGGCAACCATGAGTTCACACTGACTGACCTAGTCCTAGTTAAACAACTGCATGTATTCTAGTTTTCTTCTCTCTATCGGTACAGTGAGAATTCAATGCAACTGAACCATAATCCACCGTCTAGTTGTCTCCTTCCCTTTCCTATCAGTGAGAACTGGGTCCTCCCACCCCCCATCTCACTCTCCTTTCCCTTTGCTTCTGTGTGTCACTAGTCTCCTTATCCTCCTGATGCCTTCACAGCCTCCAGCTCTTAGTGCTTCAATCCCAGCAGAGGAGAGGAGGGGAGAGGAGAGGCTACGGGAGGGGAGGGGAGGGGAAGGGAGGGGGAGGGGAGCGGAGTAGCAGAGATAAGAGAGGAGAGGAGAGAGAATGGCTTCATTTTTATTGTTGTTGTTTGTTTATTTCCGGTAAAAGGACAAGAGAAGGAGCGGGAAAGGGAGGAGGGAGGGGAAGACTATCATTTTCTCCCCTGCACACAGAGAACTGTGAAGAACAGAGGCTACATTTCAGAATGAAGAGCAGAGCAGAGACTCTCAGAACCTTCCAGTGAAACCAAGCTTTGGACGCCTTTCTCCCCACGCAGTCGTCCTGCTGTGGTGAACTGGGAGAGGCCAGGGCTGTGTGTGAAAGCCCGAGACTTCCATTCTGCAGTCAAGGAGCTGCTAAGTAGTCCAGTACAACATTCATCCCAGCTGGGCTCTACCTAACCCAAAAGCCAGTACCCAGAGAGGCCACTGACCCTGCAACTGGGTAGACTCTGTGAAGCCTCATGTGTAAAGGAACAAAAGTCCCTGATCAAAGTGGGGCCTGCAGGAATGCAGGTCTCCTCTGGCATGCTGTTTACCCGACATCTGGACAGACCTAAAAAAGGTGAGGCTAGAGTCCAGGGCCATGGTGTAATGTCCCACAGCATAGCAGGTTTGGGAGGAAATGCAAAACAATGACAACATCTGTCACAGAAACTTCTTCAGTCCCCGATTCCAGGGATACCTTTCCTAGGGGACAAAGTAGGAAGCTTTGGCCCAGAAAGGAAGGCAGGGAAGTTTGAGAACTATAAAGTAGGCCAGAGAACTAGATGGCAAAGCGTCTGGAGTGTCAAACACAGGGAGAATCTCAAATAGAGAAGTTGGCTTGCAGAAGTAGAGTTGGTTCCAGATCCTAATTTGTAGAAGACCTTCACTGATGCCATCCTGATAGAAGAGGAACTTTTCAGTCGTTGAAGGAAGTCCTAGCAGGAAAGACAAGATGGGGACAAGAGGTCACATCATGGTCCTCCCTGCTAAAGGCACCAGTGACTTAAGTGACTTGATCATTCCCTTCTATAAATGAAGACCTGCAGGATAGACAATGAGCTAAGGAAGCAAGTGAGTTAAGCTCCTCCTGTGGCTGCTCATCCACTAGGACGATTAGTAATGCCTACCCTAGCTGGCTGGAGAGATTAGTAATGCCTACCCTAGCCGGCTGGAGACATGGCTAAGTTGGTAAAGTGCTTGCCACACCAACATGAAGGCCAGAGTTCAGATCACCAGCACCATCGGCCAGGTGTGGCAGCTTACAGCTATAATCCCAGCACTGGGGAGGCAGAGGCAGAAGGGTTGTCAGGTCTCACTTGCAAGCCAGCCTGGCTGAATTGGTGAACTACAAGTTCGGTGAGAGACTCTTGTCTTAAAAATATAGGGTAGAGAATGAAGAAGACACCCAACATTGACATATGGCCTCTGTACACATACACATACATGTCCACATCATACACACACACACACACACACACACACACACTGTGCATCAATGTAATCTTAGCACTTGGGAAGTAGAGACAGCAGAATCAAGAGTGCCAACCCAGCCTTAGCTAGATAACAAGTTTGAGGCTATCCTGGGATACATGAGACCCTGGTGTGTGTGTGTGTGTGTGTGTGTGTGTGTGTGTGTGTGTGTTTGCCTAATTAATAGAGGATCTAAATTAGTGAGGTGTCTGATACGGGTGCTAGGAAATGAACTAAGGTCCTCTGGAATCTTGATCACTGAGCCAATCTCTCCAGCCCACTTTATTTTATTTTGAATTATATGGCAGAGGGTTTACATGTGAGTGCAGGTAACCACAGGGGCCAGAGGTGCCAGACCCCAGGATATAAATTAGTAATTGACCTAATACAGTGCTGAGACATTGCTATTTTTACTTTTGTCTATAATCTGACCAATACTCAGTCTCCCTTCAGTCCTGTGAGCAGTCTTCGGAGCCTAGCTCCTCAGGTCCCGTTTCTTGTTTGGTGGTTATTTTTATTATTGTTAGTTTTGGAATTTTTTAATTTGTTTGTTTGTTTTGCTTATTTTTTGAGACAGGCTCTCACTATGTATCCCTGGCTACCCTGGACCTCACTTTGTAGACCAGGGTGGTCTTGAACTCACAACCACCCACCTATTTCTGCCTCCTTGAGTACTCAGGCTCTCAGGTTCAATTTTTATCAGGAATCCCTTCAAAGGTGCTGGTCACTAGATCCTAGGCAGTGCATGCTAGAAGACTTAGCTGGGAGTTATTTGTTTGTCTGTATACAAATTACTGGTGACCTCCATCTATGCACCTGACCTGGGCCAGGTACCAACATGTACCATCCAAGGAGTGTTTAAAACATTTAAAGACGCTACTTCAATCTTAGGCCACAAACAAGCTATCTAATAACAGGAAAGCTCGGTATACTTAAGCTTCATTATGTCATTAGCAATGGAAATACAAATCTCCTCCTCGTTATGAGAATTACCGACCTTGTTCCTGAGATGCTGGCTCTGAACTGACAGGTGACAACCATGCCCACTCCATTACTACTGGGTCCGTCAGCAAGACACAGGTAGAAAGAATATCTAGTGTAACAACCTCACGTCACAGATTATAAAAGAAAAAACTGGGGCCAGGCAGTGCTCCATTGCCCAGTAGGGCAAGGACACGGGAGCCTAGACACCGGGCTGGTGTCCTGAGATGTCCCCTTTGTCTCGTTCCTGGAAAGTGCCTCTCATAGTTTCTCCCAGGTTTATTTCAGAATTTCATTCTCCCTGTTATTTCATCAAGGGAAGTTAAGACTCGGACTTTCAGGTGGACTCACAGGCAGGTGAGCAGATAAACTGAGCAGAGTCCAAGGCCCCCAGGGCCAAGGCAAACAGAACACTGGCCCTTCTGGTGTCCCCTCAGCCTATGTTGTTGTTTAATGTCCCTGCTCCCCATGGAAAAAGAGGACCGAAGTCCACCTTCCTTCTCAGCTTGTCCAAATTAAGCCTCTGACCTGTACAAATTCCCAGACTTGCAAGTCGCTGGTGTCAACTGTTGGTTTCTTCAACTGAATGGCCTTTTCTTTTTTAGTTGTCAGGACTGTTACTCGGGGATAAATCTTTAATTGCTATGTAACTTCTCTGTATATGTAATTTAACAAAACTTACCAGCTTCTCAGGTTAGCACCTAAAATGAACTAACAAGCCTCCATTCCCATTCTCCTCCATGAGGAAGGAAGGGAGAGGTCTCAGAAGACCCACCAAACTGGAGATACAGATTCACAGACACTGTATACAAAGAGGGGTGTGTGTGTGTGTGTGTGTGTGTGTTTGTGTGTGTATGAGTGTGAGTGTGTGTGAGACAAAGGTGAGTCTCTAGCTTTTAGTCATCTGTGATAGGGTCCATCAATTAGTATTCAATATGTCAAAAATCTCTGCTGCTTTTGCCAAGATCTTAGGTTTGGGAGAAGTTGCAGACACTTGACAGTGGTTCCCGGTGCCAGTAAAAGACACCAGTGGGCCCAAACCTCAGAAGGAGAATCTTCCAGAACCCATAGCATAAAGGATCAACATGTCTGTGGCTTCCTTAGGGGCAGTGTTTCGGGAGGTGGCATAAGACCCAGAAGGAATAAGTCCTCTGCTCCAGAAACTACCTAAGCCTCTCTTAGTAAGGGTTTCTATTGCTGTAATAAAACACCATGACTAAAAGCAACTCGGGAGGGAAGGTGTTTATGCCACTTACATTTCTATGCCACAATCCATCATTAAAGGAAATAAGGCAGAAACTCAAGGCGGGAACATAGAGGCAGGAACTGAAGCAGAGACCATGGAGGAATGATGCTTACTGGCTGTCTCCTCGTGGCCTGCTTTCTTATAAGCACCCAGTGATATGTTTATAAAAATAGAAAGAGAAAGAGAATATGTTCTGTGGGTGTGTGTGGTGAAGTATGAGGGAAGGGGATGTCTCAGCAGGTCCATGCTGAAGCATCCCTTCCCCCTGAGGGACCAGTATAATATAGAATAGAGTTTATTTAGGGCATTGGGAGGGGAGTTAAGAGGGCAGTAGAGGCAGAGAGAGGGAGAGAGTAGAGAAGCAGAGGCCAGTCATGACCATGTGGAGAGAGGGGGAAGGTTAGAGGGAAGGGGCGAGGGGAGAGAGGGATCAAGAGATCAAGAGAGAGTAAGAGAGCAAGAAAGTAAGAGAGAGAGGAGAGGGCAAGAGGCCCTTTTGTAGTGGTCCAGGCCTACCTAGCTGTTGCCAGGTAACTGTGGGGTAGAGTTGAGACAGAATGCTAACATCCAGGACCCACCGGCCCAGAGATGATACCACCCACAGTGAACTGGGCCCTTCCATATGAGTCATAAATAAATAAATAAATAAATAAATAAATAAATAAGCACCACAGGCTTGTCCCCGCGCCAATTTAGTTGGGAGCATTTTCTCAATTGAGGTTCCCTCTTCCCAAATGACTCTAGCTTGTGTCAAGTTGACCTAGAACTAGGCAGCATAGCCCGAGACCTTCCTGCTACCTCTCCAGGGATTGAACTCTAGGCTGGGGAAGGACCTGTCCCATAATCTTCCAATGTTTATATCAGCTTTGATAGTTAAATGATCTGAAAAAGAAAACCTTGTGGCTAGTTGGCTAGATAAAGACCTTGAGACTGGAGCTCAGAAGTTGGGAGAACTTTTGGAAGATTCTATCTTGAAGCCATGTTTCCTTCCAGTTCTCTATACCAGGCCAAACCAGACTAAGCCAGACTAAACCACGGCCTTGGCTACAACTTCTCAAAGCTGAAGCTGCCCCCTTTTGTGGATTCCTGGCCCAGTAATCTTCACTAAACTGCCAGCTTTGAAGCAAAGAGATCAGGATGAATTTGAATATAAAATGCTACTAGAGGGGACTGGAGAGATGTCTTGGTAGCAATTAAGAGCACTGGCTGAAAAATAAATTATTTATGAAAAAAAAAAAAGAGCACTGGCTGCTCTTCCAGGGTACTCAGGTTTGATTCTCACTTCTGACTTTGTAACAGTTTGATGCTTCTTTGCATATCTGAAGATGTGTCTATTTAAGATGCAACTATGTGAGTTGCCCTGGCGACTACTTAATTTCCGTTGCTTTGGTCTCCTGGTATTGGAGTCTGTGTTGGATGGTAGTTAAGATGCCCATAGACCAGTGGAATCCTTTGAGGCTAGTGCCACTCCAGTGGAGACTTGAAGGAGTAACCTTTAATCAATGGGTATTTAAGTTTATGTTTAACTTAGTTTTTGATTTATGTGTTTGTGCCTGTGCCTCTGTGAGTTTTTGTGCCTGTGCCTCTGTGAGTTTATGTTCACCACATGTGTGCAGTGACCTGCAGAAGCTAGAGGGTGTTGGATCCCCTGGAATTGGAATTATAGGTGCTTGTAAACTGCCTGAAGTGGGTTCTGGGGACTGAACCCAAGCCCTCTGCAAGAGCAGTGAGTACTCTTAACTGCTAAGCCATCTGTCTGGCCCCCTCGATGGCCATTTTACCCCCACATCCAAGGCACACCCCATAGTGAAAGCCTCCATGTTGAGAGAGGGCTCTTTGCTCTGCTTGCTAGACACTTGCATGATTGCCGACCTCGAGCCCTAGCAGCTGTTTGGCATTTAAGTCTCTCTGTCACCTTCCTCCCACTTGTGGGTTTTGATCTTAGTCTACACGGGGCGCAGGTACATCAAGGACCGGGAATGTGGATCCTGGAGAGTTTCCCGGCAAAGACCCATCCTTTCTGGCACTTTATCCCAGTCACATTGACCTCAGATTTCTATCTCTGTTTCTAGAAACTTCAGCTTGGCAGAAGGCCCGTCATCATCTTCTCACCTCTTGTTTCCCTTCCTCCGTGGACGCCAGTCCTTCATTGTTATTGTTCAGTGTCCACAAAGAGCTGTCTCATCCTTTCCTCAGATTTCTAGTTGTTTGTGGAAGGAGGGTACACCCTGCCCTAGGCACTCCTTCACTCACCCGTGTGAGTCTGACTTTTAACAACATTATCTTGGCTCTGGATCTACACTTGCTAAGAGGCGGTCACAAGCTGGCATCCTGGTACTAACTAGCAACCGTGAAATCTCTGATAAGGAACTTGTCTTACTTTCAGAAAGCGTCCTGCACCAGCAGTAAGATTCACCGTTTGCAGTAATTTTGATATTTTTCAGGAAACATTAACTAAGACTTTGTCTTTGACATTAATTTCAAATGTCAAAACATAGTTTGTTTTATTATATTCCTATGTGTCAGGGTGGGTGTGCATATATATGATAAGCTCACTGATTCAGCTAGCCTGGCCACCCAGTGAGCCCCGGGGACCCTCCCATCTTTGCTTCCCAGCCTTAGGATTACAAATGCGCATCTGGGGACCCAAACTCAGGCTCTCATGCTTAAACAGGAAGCACTTTCCCAATGGCACCAATGGCACCATCTCCCAGACCCCCATATACAAAATCATTCCCTGTTCTTTCTTTCTTTCTTTCTTTCTTTCTTTCTTTCTTTCTTTCTTTCTTTCTTTCTCTTTTCTTTTCCTTTTTTTTTTGTTTTTTTTGGTTTTTCGAGACAGGGTTTCTCTGTGTAGCCCTGGCTGTCCTGGAACTCACTCTGTAGACCAGGCTGGCCGCAAACTCAGAAATCCACCTGCCTCTGCCTCCCAAGTGCTGGTCCTTGTTCTTTCTTGTTATTATGTGAGTCATTTATGTTGAACATTGATGTGATTGTGTGTGTGGTCTTAAATTATTGATTGGATGGTATTTAGACAGATTTTTTTCCTCAAATTATAATTGAATTAGTTGTCTCTTGTGTAAAATAACCAGATTATAAGTCAAACTAACTTGGTAGAATTATTTTAAGAGTACATTATTTGTATTTTTAAAGTGTGTGTGTGTGATGCATATACACTCACATGTGTGAGCACATGGAGGCTGTAGTTTGACACCAGGTATCTTTTTCTGTCACTCTCCCCTCTACTTTTTGAGAGAGAGTCTCTTGAGGAACTGTTGCAGCTCAGCCCGGTGACCAGCTGGATTCCACCGTCGCTGCTTTCAGTGTGCAGGTTACAGAAACATACAACCACTATCAGGTTTCACGTGAATGTCAGAGGGCCAAACTTCAACCTAAGCATTTACCCAAGGGGCCACCTCCCAAAAAGTGTATTTTTTACACTCATTTACTTGTGTATGTATGTGCTCGGTGGCACACTCGTGTCACTATTTCCATGTAGAGGTCAGAGGACAACTTGTGGGAATCTATCTTTTCCACTGTGTGAGTCCCAAAACTCAAACCTAGGTGGTTACCCTTACCCATCTCACCAGCTATAAGATAAATTTTTTAGTAGACACTAAAGTCACAATTTTAATACAGAAAATCTTATTACCTCCAAATCTGAGAACACTCAGTGATGCTTTCTTGGAAGATACTTTTATTCATTTTTTTGTTTCAGTTATGACATTGAGTTATAGAGATGTCAGCACGAGTCCACGTCGAGGCAAGCAGTTGGGTCCCTAGTCCCTGGGTTACCCCCCAGACGAATGGTGTTTAATATTTGTGAAATGTGCAGGCATCCAGCAGTTC